TGGCATTAAAATAAGGATTCGCGAATAATTGACAGTAAGGTAGTATTGTTATACTAACAGAGGTTAAATTGACGTAGCCCCTCTTCACCTTATGATTGTATTCAATAAATAGATTGTGAAAAATTTTGATCCTAACACCGAATTTTCAAGGTATAAATACAAGTTGACAGCCATTCATCCAGCAATTATATACGTTATTATAAGTGATCAATCTTTGTGTTTGATCAGTCGATTGAACCGATAGAGGCCTACTGTGGAGTTCCATTATTTAATGGAAGGGTTTTACAATTGTGGTAACCTATTATTTCGTCTATAATAAGGTAAGATTCAAATAATAGACTGTACTTGCCATTCCCATGCTTAAACAAATCGATTGATCTAATTAAGTTATATCAGGGATTACTCGAAAAAAGTGACTAGTCTCTGATTGAATTTAATCAGTAATAGATTATTGTATCTGATCAGCTATTTGAAACGGTAGGGGTCTTCCGTAAAATTTCTTCGTTTACGAAAAAGATTTTCCAATTGTAGTAACCCATTATTTCGACCTTGATAAAGGAAACATTTGAATAATAAACCGTGCATTGATATTGTTTTGCTAAAACATGCCGATTGATCTAATGGGGTTCCTAAGTCAAATGGAATAATTTCACTTCGAGAATCCATTAACGCTCCAATATACAATGGAAACATAAATCATCTCTAACTATAATTTTAGATTAACTTCATTCTGAGACTACATCCACCCCTTTCTAATTCATACCTTATACAATACTCCACTTCTATTGAACACTTGTTAAATAAGCTGCAAATTAATTACTGGCATATGCTATAATTGTCGTCAAAGACTCACTTATTTAATTTTACGCATAAAATTATATCGTATTGCTGACCTAGTTTTCTTCTATTAGTACTATTTAGAAGGTCTCATCATCTCACGAATATCGACTATATTATAAGGATAAGTATCTTAATTAAACCACATACTATTAATATTAACTTTGATGCTACAGCATACAAGGACAAGGTGATTCTTAGCTAAACAACACCATAGTAGCTAATTCTACCCTAGTAATTGCAAAGCGTCTATTGTAAAAAGTTTTAAGGTTTAATTGCAGTACTGTTAGTTAACTTTAGTTTCCTTCTACCTCTTGCTTTTAGCAATATACGCCTATTATGGTATGCTATATCTGGTAGATACGGTATCATTTCTACAAAAAATATAATAATTATACCGTAAGGATTTAAGAAATCATCAACAAGTTGTTATTTATCTTCCGCATACGGGTAAAATAATAAATAATTTTGTGCGTAATTCTATGGACGTCATTAAAGAATCCTATTTACATTCATTCTCTAATACACAATCCTATTGTCTAAACTACAGTAATTTTATTTTTAGTCATATTTATCAACTTTGAATCGTTTTTAACTCCCTCCATTGAATCGTCATAGATATAAATAACACATATAAAGCTAATGACGGGGTAGTTCTGGTGGTACACTTCCAGGTAAGCTTATATCCGAGGAACTACCAATCGCATGCAACACTATTTATTATTAACGAGCCCTTTCGGATAATTATTTCATTTTATTCACGCCTACTATTATTTCCTATCCGATCTTTGTTTACCATTACAACTTCATTCATTTTTGGGGCAATAATGAATATGATAGCTAATATCATTTATTCACTACACAGGTCACACTAGCAGAATAGACCTTAAAATAATCCTTCATGCGTAGCTATTTATCCATAGGCATTATCTTATCCTAAATCATGCGTCTATATTACCTTTACGATTTTACTGTATCACATAATCATGTTAGTTCATGAATTAATATATACGCCGGTTGTTTCGAGAATATGCAATTTATTAATCTCTCTATATGTATTGCTAATACTGAAAACTATAATGAAAATGGTGCTCTACAATAGAACAATTTAATTCTAGTAACCATTAACAGCATTAAAAGTTCAATACGTGAACTCCCGCATCATTATAAGATTAGACTAGTATTGTTTCATTACTTCCGATTAACGGCCGTAATATCCTGGAACACGCTGGTTCCACCACGAACGTCGGGTAAGGAAAATTCTTCGTCTACGGCGTCGACGTCTTCTCCACCACTAATCAGCAAATCAAATGAAAGGAAAAAATTTTCATTAAGAACCTTTACTAATCTTATTCAAATTTGTTAAAAAATTGAAAATTGACAGTTTAAATTCTTCTAAATGGGTTTAAACAGCGTGTAAACGATCGTATTTTATCAGTAACTTAGTAAGTAACAAATAATTTTCATCTTGTAGTTTATCAAATCTAATAATCAATAATGTACTGTGTCCGAATAGGTAGAGTTAATTTTAAGATGTTTACCGCTGCTTTGACTGCGTTTTCTTTCATTTCATCTTCTTTCAGATTTTCAAGTTCAGCTTCTTTTGCTAGGATTTCGTTTTCTTCATCTTCGCGATCTTCAATGGGATGCTCAATATCCGCTAATTCTTTTTCAATCTCCTCTGGGATTTCATCGTTTTCCGCGGCATAAGCCGTGGCGACGAACAACAAACAAGCAATCAAGACCAATTTGAAATTCATTTTCTTACTACATTAATAAGAAAATAAAATATTTAGAAGAGAAATCATCTATTTTCAAATGTAGTTATCTATTAAACTCTATTTCTATAAGTATCTTTATCTAAAGTCAGCGTAAACGATGTTCAATGTTATCTTAAAATTTGTAGAAGAAATCGTTATGATCGTAAGAGCAACTTACCTGGAAAATTTTCAGCACATGAAAACTGGATAACAAGCCTGCAACGGACTTTATATAGACTATGGTTAATGATATCCCCTGCGGGATTACTAATAAAATAACCAATCAGCTAAATTGATGATATTACCTCATTTCGCAATTATACTTATCTATCTTTTTGATATTAAAAGAAAGGGTTCGTGAATGAAAGTCGGTACAGCAGTATTGTTATATTAAGAGAAGCTAAATTCACGTAACCCTTTTTACCCTATGATTGTATTTGATAGACAGATTGTGAAAACTTTTGATCCCGACAAAGAGTTTTCAAAGGATGAACACAAGCCAACAGCCATTTATCTAGCAATTGTATGCATTACAATCAGTAATAAGTCTTTGTGTCTGATCAGTCAATTGAACCGGTAGTAATCTATAGTAAGCATTCTTTACTTATCAGAAGCTTTGCAATTGTGGCAACCTATTATTTCGATGTTAATGAAAATAAATTCGAATAATGAGCAGTAAATTGACGCTGCTATGCTAAGGCAAGTGGATTGATCTAATTAAGTTATATTTAATTAGTAATAAACCATAGTGCCTGATAAGTTAATTGAATGGATAGTGGTCCTGCGTAGGGTTTGTTCTTTTACTGGAATGATTTTGCAATTCTAATAACCCATTATTTCGACCTTAATAAAAGTAAAATTCGAATTATAAACAGGACTTGATATTGTTATGCTAAAACAGGTCAATTGATCTAGAGGCGTTGCTTAAATCAAACATAGTAATTTTGCTCCGATAATCCAGTAAGTCTTAAATGGATGATGGAAGCATAGGTCGTCTCTATCTATGATTTCGAATTAGTACCATACTTCATTCAGAGACTACAGCCATCCCTTTCTAACTCATACCTGTAGTTAAATTTTTACTTGTTAAAATGTATAAAGTACTCTAACTTAATTGCACACTTGTTGAATAAACTATAAATTATTCACTGCCGCATGTTATATTTGTTCACAAAGACTTTTTATTCAAATTTTATTCTTGTATACCTATTAAACTGACAAATCAGTTGTAGAATTACCGCAATCTAGGCATAAGTTAAATTTGTTAATCAAAAGCTTTTAAATATAACCCTTACCACTTGCATATCAAAGTCAAGCAGTTTCTCTACATACTGTAGTATCAATACAATAATCTGTAATTACATGGATACCCAATGTAATAAATATATCTCACAATAACTATCTTAGTCATATAGTATTTTCTAAAAGGCTTTTATTACAATTTTTTAGGAGTAGTAGAGCAATAATTAATTACTACAAGAATCTAGTCTAAAATTTAAAGTATTCCAAGCTCAAAGCGAAGTGAAGTCTCTTCTCCCCTGTGAGCTCATCTCTGCAGTTCTTATAAATATTTCATTAAATCCATTTATGACAACTTGATTAATCTACAATCAGACATAAATCATCAAACAAAATACTTTTCTCTAATAGGACATCATTATTTTCTACAATCTAAATCATTTTAATCGAGATGTCACTACTCTTCTATTAATGTCTAGGCCCGTTCTCCGAAGGGCATTTCAACAACTATAGTGTTTCTAGCTACATAAATCTTGTACCATAATTAGTCAACTGGCTACTATTAGTCATCAGCAATTTCTAATATAGTAGTTAGCAATTATCTAATATTAGCTTCACGGTAATATCTATTCAAAGTAACCTAACTATATCAAATGTAGCTATCCGTATAATCAAATATGGTTGCATCGCTACACCCGTAATTGAATAAGACTTTGATAACGCTGGTATAGTTCTGCAAAATCAACTCTGTGAAGGTCCCTAGTAGTCTTTGTCTTTTCTAATTTACTCATGGATATCTCATCACTTACCAAGCTTGTGTTCGAGTTAATCCAAGTACTAAGCCGAACGCTTATTGGTTTCATCAATGAGAAACTAGCATACACACAATCATAATACTGAAGTCAAGTTCTTCTCACTTCGCATATAATCACGATCCTTAGTGGGATTTTGAATATCTGCTAATTCTTTTTTAATCTCTCTGAGATTTCATCGTGTATTTCGGCATAAACCATAGCGAATATAGAGTAAGTAAGCGATCAAAGCTAATTTTGGAATTCATTTTGAGCCACATTCAATAACAACAATATTCCTTAAACACAAATCTAACACCGCAATATACGGTACAATTGATCAATAATGTACCCCTTTTAAATTATATTTATGCAGTAAGATTACAATCACATTAAAAGAAAGTTCTATTTCGTACAGATATTTTTGAAGAAACATCGCTATGACGTTGTCAAAATTATTTTAATTCCCATACCTAATATTTTGCAACACAAAGAATTAAATAGTAATTTTCAGTAGTTACTTATACACGTTTTAACTAGACAGTAAGCATTGCAACTAGTAGTTGTAATCGGCAATGCTTCTAATTTCACAAGATCATTTATTACAGCTACTTTCTAAATGTCATTTCATTATAAAGTTTGGTCGTTAAAATAAGTTAAATATGAAGATATAATAAATTAACGTTGTTGGATTAAATCAATAAGACCTAGTCAGTGGGTCAATCCCTTTTCGTCTGGCGATGATAATTGCACAAATATTTGTTCTCTAAAGCGACTGAATTGATATTATCTCATACAAATACATTATTAGCCTTGCCTGGGTAAACAATTGACATTTCAATATAAACCATCAATTTCAGCATGAATTAAATATTAATCTTGTGCACGATTTAATTTTAAGATTATTGCAATCTATTTCGAGCTTAATCTGCTCTCATACTTGAATTAATCATACAGGTAATTATTAAACTCTGCTACAGACTATAGTATCTCATACTTTACATCTATAATACACCTGTTGGATAGCATATAAAGTATACAGTGAAGTGACGGTTTATTTAGAATTATGTGAAGTTGTGCTTTTCATATCTTACGTGCTATTTAAACTGAAACCCCTACTGTCGCCTTACCGATGAAATAAGGGTTTCAATAGAGCAACTGCCATTATTGCTGAACAGCTCGCATATGCATCATGGCTGACCATCAGAGCATTAAGTGTAGTTAGATTTAGGAGTACAGACAATAACTATCATGACAATTTTTATTTTAATTGTAGACAAACTGTCGACGCTCCAAATCGTCATAAAATCCTAAAGATTCTGTGACTATAGTACACGTCGTATCGGAGGTTATTATATAGAAAGATATTACAAAACATTAAGAACTTTTACCCATCTTCGATATCTCTATCTCGTAGCATGCTATAAATTTGAACTGCCCTTCTAGTACTAGTTTCTATAGCGATATTATTGGTACTACCTTTACGCTTTATCCTACAGGTAACTTCCTGATTAAGGCCGTCAGTGTTTCGATAGCTAGATAGGAACAGAACATACTTGATAATTAAAAAAATATCGTAAGCTAGATGTTATGATTTTTTATCGTTATATAATGCATGATACGCTTTAAGCATACAAAACTTGGAAAATGACTTTAAGTGAAAGTTTATATGGTATATTTTAGTTGAAAGCATCTCGATCTATACGCTAATTTAGTAAAATTTTCTCATTTCGCTATTGTACTAGTCTAACTGTTAAAACAAGTTGGATGTACATCGATAGATAAATTCTGAACTTCCTTGCCGCTGATTTGACTGCTTTGCTGCTTAAGTCATCTTTATTCACCTGCTGTGACTCAACAGCTTTTCGATAATACTATTTCATTCACCAGTTTTATACTTATTTGGGGATCGTGTGTCTATTTAGTCTTTGTAATTTACTTCGGGAATCCTGATTAAGTAATCTCTATATTTAATCGATTCATATATCCTAATATACATTATTTACGGGTTCCAGGATTAAGATTCAAGTTAAGATTTTTAATTGCATATCAGTTATGCATCAGACAGTCTTCAGTAGAGCTCTGTAAAAAGTTAATTTCTTACTGCGAAATCTGAACTAACAAGTTCCTTCAATCTGAAGGTTGGGTTTGACTCCCAGAGCTTAATACAGCCCGAAATAATTACAGTATAAAAACATAGCATACTTTACATTTATTACTGATTGCATGTATGCTCATTTAACTAACTATAGATTAATTTTTAGGTACTATCGTAGGCATCTTACACATCCTATATTACCTATAGATATTCCATCATATTGCTTAATTACTCGTAGTTCATAGACATAATTATTTAAAATTGTTGCCAAAATGAGACTTTATTGACTAAATCTATTGCAAAATATAAATTGATATTCAACCTACATTTCAGTAATGTTACTACCGACGTAGTTAGTAGTCTATAGTAAACGTTTTAGCAGTTTAAGATCACAATGGTGTTCCATTTGACATAATCAGCTAAAAATTGCTATGGAAAAGTTTTTACTGCTACTAGTTGAAGACAGCTATATTCCATTTCTTCCTTTTATTTGCCTACAGGTACTCGTTGGTTCCACCATGAACGTCGGGTAAGGAAAATTCGTCTGCGGCGTCTACGGCGTCGACGACGGCGTCTTCTCCACCACTGATCAATAAAATATAATGAATAAAGAAATTAAATTCAGTTGACTTTCTAATCTTCTCAGATTTGTCCAAAAAAACACAAAATTTTAGGCTTTAATTTTTTAAATATTAATAGAGATAACTTTTAATTTATCTTCTGTAAAAGCGCTCTTATTGAAGTATCTGTTAAGAAATAGTATTGTAGAATTTTACCGCAGATTTAACTGCTTCTTTTTTTAAGTCATCTTCATCGATATCTGCAAGTTCTGCATCTTTTTCGATGATTTCGTTTTCTTCATTATTACGATCTTCAATGGCATTTTGAATATCCGCTAATTCTTTTTCAATTTCCTCCGGAATTTCATCGTGTTCTTCGGTATAAACCGTAGCGGCAAAGAGCAAGCAAGCAATCAAAACCAATTTCAAATTCATTTTTGAACCTTTTTAACAAACAAAAATGTTATCTTAGAATCGAATAACACTGTGTGAAGCACAGTCGATTACTAAACTTTCCTTGCATTAATTATTTTTATATAATTAAACAACAATCAGACATAAGCAAGTTTTATTTGTTTGAGATTTTTCTTGAAAAAAATTTCGCTAAAAATATTACTTCTAACTTTACAATTATCATTCATAATAGCAACTTCCTAATTGCCATTCCACAACTAAAGTTTGGTCGTTAAAATATGCAAAATAGCAGTAAATAAATATAGCCATTGTTCGATATCATTAATAGGGTTGAGTCTACTTGTCAGTCTTTCTTGATGGCGTCATAGTATATGTACGATCGTTTGTTCTCAAAAGCAATTAAATTAATTTTTGTTGTAAACAATATATTAGCCTTGCAAAATTAAATAATCATTACTTTTACTCACAGTCATAAAATCAACATATGAAGGAGATATGAATATTGTGTACGATTTATTTTTAGGTTGTTGCTTCCTAATTAACTTGTATCTCTTGTTAAGTTTAGGATTAATTGTAATTACTGTAATGAAGTTTATTACAGTATCTCGTACATTATATTCATATCTCATCTATTGAATTGACCATTACAGCGTAAAATAAATCAATCCTTTATTCGTTATTATTTAAAAGTGGTACTTTTCATATCTTAATTTACAATAGAACATTTATTATCATAATACCAGTAAATTTTAGAGTAAATTAAGCTACTATGGAGTTCAAAGCGTAGCTTTGAAATATCTTTATGGTTCAAAGTAAACGTCATTAGTGTAATAGAATATTCTAAGGAATAACATGATAAAACGCCTGGCACACCTACCATTGCTAGCTAGCTCATTTACAATAACTGGAAATGACAGACAGGGCGTTGAGAATCTTAATTAAATGAATGGAGATAATAAAATTATTATCATTTCTTAACACATAAAGACAGAAAACTATAAAATAAAATATAAACTCTTATTTATTCTTATGATATATTGATTTCTACAAATGCAGATGCATATAGATTAACTCTCAGTTATTAAATCGAAAATATCGTTCAGTATCAATTAATGAATATTTAGAATCCTTCAAATGCAGCATTTATAAATAATGATCTGCATATATATTTTCAGCTATAAGATACTGGATTGAAATATACGAGTCATTTATGGATTGCATTGTCTTAATTCTGAGTTGCAATATAATAGATTGTTAAGCAATCTTTCACACATAAATTTTTCATTGAGAAATGTTTTCATGCCTTAATTTATCACTTTACAGTCTAAAGTACGTTAGCCTCTTGGGACTTATCTACACGAAAAGTAATTTTGCTAACTGAAAGTTTATTAAGTTATACGATTGTTATATTACAAGAGGTAGAAAATGTTATTCTATATCTACTTAACATCTAGATACATTATTAACCACACGACAGTTTTCTGCGATGAAGTACATATGAATTTGAAGTAGTATTTTAAGATGATTATTTCTCTAATCTGCTTTTGCCTGTTATTGGATTTTTATGTAATTACTTCTTCTACTTCGCGGTATACCTTGCATCAGTAGAAAATCCGCCGTTATGGGTTGAATTTACTACTGAAAGTTCTAGCCAGATTGAGATTTAAAAAGAGATTTTTGACTTAGTTTTAATAAGAGCGTCTTTATAAGGCAATTATAAAGCATATTTTTTTATATTATTTTGATTTATTGCAAATAGCTGCCGAAATTTAATTTGGAGTAAGTAAATATTGTAAACTTAATGTTAAGATAAAATCTAATCGCCTATCAAATGTGGAAAAAATGATATCATCCGCTAACTGAGTTGAGATAGAAGCTAGTAGAATATAGAAATCGAAGAACTACTATTGGTCAATAGCCACTAGTTATTAGTTCAAAGTTCGTTCTTGCTAACGACTTATGTCATAACTATGCAACGAGCTAATATTTGGATTACAACATATCATTGTTACCTTACCATAATAACTCGTAAAAGTACTGTATTATGTGTAGTCAGTCTTATAATATCATATCGAGTTAACTGATTAAACTTATCGGAATGGAATCGTAGCATATATGAACGAGACCGGATGCGAAATCGGTCATTTTGTAAACTGCCCGGGCATTTTGCAAAAATGACCGATTTCGCATCCGGTCTCGTTCATATGCATATATAAATTACTGCATGACAGTAATTTGCCAATCAGTTAGTCAGTCTGTGGTTAACCATTTGATTACTGGGTCAGTTTTGTGCAAGTATCTACGAAATAAAGCACTTCATTTTGTAACACTCTGATGGACTATTTATGGTAAAACTAATGGGAGTACCGTAGTTTTTGAGCTAATTTACTAAGATAGCTTAAAATTTAAGAAGATTGGACCGACTTAGTTTGGTTCTTGGGATAAAATTTTGCCTTACAATACTTAGTACCAGCAGAGTAGTTTACAATTTAACAAGCACCCTTCTCTCGTCTCAATTCCATTAAGATTACGTTATTATCGCTAAAAGAAGTCATAATTTACCCTAGTATATTCATAGGTAAATCGCAACACATATAATAAATTATGATAGAATGTTAGATGGGCCATCTAATATTTATTTCTGATACAATATCTAGCCGAGACTGAGTATGAAGCAGCAAGCAAAATAAAATGAATAAATATGTTTCTATAAGAACCTTTGGAGATATTTAATAATTATATGTTAAAATGAATAAGGAATAGAAGGTGGCAGTGTAGGATAATTTCAGATAACTTGCAATCTATATTATTAAAGTATAGCCATTTTTTTAATGTCTTAAACTACAATCTCCACGCGTAAATTATTTTACTGTATAAATGCGATTAATTTTAGTTCCATATATCAGTCGTTGTTATTACTTCCAACTTTACTCATGATACTTTCACAACAACTTGCACAATAACATAAAGAAATTTTTCGTCTAAAATGGAATATAGGGCATAATAAAGAATTAATCTTCCATTCATTTTGATAACGACTGCTACATCTAAACTTACAGATTTATTGAAATCTCTGTCACATGTTACGAGGTTTTAAATATGAACAGAGGCATATCGCAATATTAGAACGTAAATATGCAAATATTGTCAAATCATACGAGAATTCATATGACAATATGTTGCTACTATTATAAATGTTCGTATGTTATATTCCGCCTCTGCTGGTATTCCAATGGAAAAATTAAAACCTTCAAAATTCATAGGCGAGCATAATCAGAGGCGAAATATACTATACAAATTTACCAAATATTTATGAATAGTTATTTGAATAGTCTTTGCTTGGATTTTAATTAATCCTAATTAATCTCATTGGCTTAGAGCAATCATTCACAAGATCTAAAATAAAATTGATAATAACGTAAGTCATCACCAACTATCTGCATACAAACATCTGAGTAGGATAAATTAATTTATGGTAACTTTGTTAATTTCCAATATCTAAACAGCACTCTGAAGTTACGTAAGTAGCAAATTATTAAATTTAGTAATCTCGTGGAATTGGAAAAGATTTCAATTAGACTGATTATGATAATGTATCCAAAGTTATAATGAGATGGCATGTAAAGCAGAAAAGAAAATTATAACTAGCTATTAAATCATAGTTTTGTGACTGTATTTCAAGGAGTTTATGGCTCCATTCATGCACTTGATGCTTTACTTTAATTTTTTTCTATTAATAACAAGTTTGCTGCCCTTGTAGCTGCGCAAACAATATAGACTAATTAATAACTTATGTAAGCCTACGATACTATTTGTGATATATTTCTTTAAATTTCTATGAATTAGTACTTTTAGCTGATACGGTAGATACTGAGACCTGTCTTCAATGTCAAGGCCAAATTTTACAATAAAGTAATTTATATTATGAGTAAACTGAGTCTGTTAGAGACTAACATTTACAGTAAAGTAGTAGGTTGGATCGAAACTCTTAGGTTTACCGATCTTGTTGCAAATTATTTAAGACAAACTACCTTACATTTATGTAAAATATTGCCGGATTGGTTAATAAGGGCTTCTAAACATCGAAATAGTCAAATTTTACTTGAACCAAATATCGGATTTGAACTTTTTCCATATTGTATACGACATATCTATCGGAGTCAAATTCATGACTGGTTCAGTATAATTAGAACGTCAGGTATAAGAGGAGTGTGTAAAAAATCATTTTATTTATCATATACCTGCTGGAAATTGGAGAATAGGCTTTAATTGGAATTATCTTGCCTAAGGGAACTGTAATACCATCATCTATTATTTTGTTTCCGGCTGGATCTGGTCCGTAACCACCTACCGCTAAGTTAGAGGAGAATTTATAGTTCTTACTAAATGGTATATCAAGGACATGGTTTTAAATAATTCGTAATGCTTACCTTTAAAGCTGTCAGTTCCTTCAGGTAGTTTGGGTTTCTGATTAAGTTTGCAAGATTCTATATTCATTTTATGCCTGTAATCACACAAGAAATAGAATATAAACTTCAAACTAGGACACTTTTCAAAAAAGTAACCATTTCATTAGCTTAAAATTTCTCATCAATGTAAAATAAGTTATCAACTATACCAAGAACTCCAACGAATCGAATCTGCTTATTCAAAATTCGAACTTACATTTTACCTAAAGCGACCTCACAGAGTAATAATAATCCGACAGGGTTACTGGCTGTAGTTTCACATCGGCTCGCGCTCTAAATAATAACAAATGCAGTATTTGGAAATTAAGTTTCCAAGAAACTTGCTGTGATCTAATTATTCGTTAAAGAACATTAGTTTAGTACAGAACTCTCTTCATTTTGAGTAGTTAAGTTCTGTTACCTCCCACATGATATCTAAACAGAAAGTAGAAATGATTGTATTTTTAGTCTTAAATTTTGAATCACGAATAAGGCACAGAGCAGTCTAACAGTTTCATTACCAGTAAAATAGAGTGCCTTGCCTACAGGAAAGCATTTCTGAAAATGGTCATAATAGCATTAGTGCAAAAGCGAAAACCACAATGTAACTTTATTTAGCGCTATACAAAGTTCATGATTAAATATCTTAATGCACACGTCAGTCCGTACTAAAAATATGAATGATAAAACGGCAAATCTGTTATACTGCATCTTTATGAATATTGAGAAATAATTGCATAAAGTACAATTAGTAGAATTTTCTCCCGATAGCAATCACTGATACAGAGTTTACAGTAATGCAGAAGTATAACATTATCAATTTACTACATAACACTAGTATTTATTTTATCTGCAACAGTTATGTTCAAAGAAAGCTGCTAAATCGGTCTAGTAATGCAAAATTATATTCATCCTAACAAGATTAATGTTCAAACAATCAAAAATAATATATTATTGCAGTAATATATCATCCAATAACAATTTAGATAACATAGTGCTTAATTATATTATAGGACTAGTCTAAACTCGATCACTAAATTTGATTGCCAACGATTTTGGTAACGCTATGCAACTAAAATCACTAATCTATATTACATGAAAAGTTTATTTTTGCATTTAAGTGTATGCGTTAGTTATTAATGAATATTATGAGAGTGGTTAGATTCGTGAATATTAATATTTTGCTGTAACAAACAATATCGAAAAGCAATTAAGACTTTATCTACTAACAGTTCCATCAAGTTTCTCAGGTACTGGTTTTATTCCTTGCGATAATATCTGAGCGTAGTTAATAGTTCGAAATCCATGCCATAGTAACATTCTGTTATCCGTATTATTAATAGCTTTGAATTTTTCATCGTCTCTTTTGCTGTTTATTTTGAATACCTATTTAGTTGAATCCGGAATTTAGCATTAATACCTTTGACTTTGATTACTATATCATTACATCCACTTCGATCGTACCTCCTCAACGGAGATTGAATAGTATTTATTCACTGGATATCGAAAACCATTTCTCGCGTACGCTTTGATCATGTTAAATACATAGCTATCATGATCCAGAACCTATAAATTAGAGTATAGTAATAATATTATTATTCCTTAAAAACATTTCAATGAAACCTTATTGTAGCAAGGATACTCCTAAAAGAGTTTAAGAAATAAGTAAACCTGCCTCAATATTGGTTTTAAGTCTCTGGTAAAGACTCGATATAGGATCAGTTGTTGATTTTCCAACAAATTCAAGCAGTTCATAAGCTACCAATATATCTTTCAAATCTTCCAATGCATAGCGACATTGTATCAACTATATTGATGTTAAATCATATCAAGTAATAAGTAAGTTCCTAATACATACTAATTTACGGTTTCTACTATCTTATACTAGATCACTTAGCTAAAATTTTTAACTCTATATTTTACATCATCATCAAGATCAGATAGATTCGCATGTGTTAAATCAAAAAACGGTTTTCTGGGTATAATATCACAGAGTTTTTTGATCCTGTTTTCAATTTCCTTCAATTTGTTTTTTTTGTTGTTTTGTTCAGTCTTGCAACTTTTCTTTATCTAAACAATACAATTTTGTTTTACGACATCTAGAGAACTACAAATTAAATTATAGAGAGCCACAGTGCTACAATAAATTATTAGAAGGATAAAAATAAAGAAGATATGTTTGCAGTGTTATAGATAGGAAGAAAACGCAAAAGATATGACGCTTTCATCGCACAAGGCCATTTACTATAGTATTTTTCGGAAGGAAAAGACTAGCTTTACTTATCTCTAACTTTAAGATCATAATGTCATCCATGATAGAACTAGAACCGGTAGCTAATGTAATACTTATCCATTTTCATAGATAATTACAAATTACTCATTTCTATTCATATAGTCATTACAACACTGCCATCATATTATGTAGGGTGGCTCTATCAACCTCTGCGATTTCATCAAGCAACTTTGAGGCCTCTACCAGTCTATCAGCTGTCAAATCTTTCAATTTTAATCTTTCGGCATCGATCTAAAATAGTTATTGGATCACATTATTTTTTTACGTTTAATATATCGTGTTAGTTTATTAAGATTATTATACCTCGGATTGAACGATAGAAAATTGCATAGCTTTCACATCAAAAAGGAGCTGTAAGAGTTTATGAATAGGTCCTTTAATACGTTCAGAGGGACTGTAGTAAAGCAGTTGTTGCAATTTCATAGCCTCTGAATCCTAGAAATAGATTTAGTTCAGAACTAAATTTCATGGAATGCTTTAAAAGCTTCTAAAGTTGAGTACACGCAGAATTTTAGACTATTACTAAAGTAATTTATCACATCTTCCATAACTAAAACGTCATAATTTAGATCACGTAGCTAATCCATAAGTTAGCAATACGTTAATCTAAAATTAGTAACTCTAGTCAACTATCTACTTGCAATACATTTCTAGTTAATGAACTCGAAACCTTAAAACCCCATGAACAAATCCCTGTAGGAAATCCACGGTCTATTTTCAGCTTGAATTCAACATCTTTTCCAAAACGATTGCCTGCATGCAAGAAAGATGCATTATGCGATGTAGCATATCATATTAAAACGCGATAAAACGCGAGTAAATTATATACAAATATCGTGTAATAGACTTGAAGGTCCAACAATAATTGAAAAATAAGGGTATGACGGTATGTTACTTACCTGTAAGACCATAGTATTCCAACTGAAATGCTAGCTTCGCCTCTTCTTTAGTATAGAAGTGCTATTGTATATCAGAAGAAATACTTTAAAAACTACATTAATTAATGTCATTCAACGAAATCGTTACCATAAATAAATCTTTTCCTTTATTATAATTGTAAAATTGCTGCTTAGCGTTGATAACGTTACCTGAACTTCAAACCGATAAAAATTTTCATCAAGGCTGCCTTCATCATTATCAATGATAACAACACAGAACCTAAAATATTACATAGACGATAGCAATAAAGCTATGGGACTAGAAATTTTTAAGTATTATTACTTCTGTAGGTAGTATAAAGCAGTCCCAAAATATTTGCAATCTAATTCAGTACTAACATATCGGAAGTAAGATGAGCCAGGGCTTGCAACTTTGTTAGGGCTGGTAATTGTCCATCATCATTATGTTCTACTACAGTACTATATAGATTACCAGATTCTTCTAAAACACAAAATTTTTTATGCAGACCTATAGAACAATACACGAGTATAATGTTGGAATTACTATTAATACATATAAGCGTTAAGCTATTCAGTGTATGCTTAGCAACTACGGACAATGCATGTTTTCTTTATCTTATTATGCGGTGTTTTGAAAATTTATAAGGCTATTAATGAGATATGTCTAGTAATTCCAGAAAACATAGACAGCGATAATTAAGGCTTAAAATATAAGTTATCGGTGCCGTTATTTAATATTTTTACAATAAAACTGTAATTAATGAATTTCATTTTTGAGTTATAGCAAAAGATCAGGTACGCAGTTTGGTGATATTACCTATCACGCCCTCACTCATAAATTATAAATTAGTTACAGCAATTTCTAACGTAATATTAGCGACGATCTACGATACCTTTCAGAGAATCCGTGATTGGATTTTCTGACGATCTAAAGACTTTAGTGGAATAGTACCCTATTTATAGCATAAGCATTAAAATAATAATGTATTTCGTAATTTATAGCTTTTACCTTGCAATAACATAAAATAATTTACAAACTTATATTAGGCAAGCTTAATAGTAGTTTACGTACCATAACGTCGATTCGCAATTTTTATATCCTAAATATAAGTATTTTCATAATTAATTATCAGACTCTCATTTATACAGATTATAAACCCTAAAGATCGTATGACTTGCGCTTTATTAACTATAATAATGGCATGAAGATTTACCTTTTTACTAATCCAATCAGCTATATTATATTTTAAGATAAGGGTATTAAGATCTTGTCTGTTGCTTTTTCCAAAGCTATCGATAAATTCCTCAGCTACAATAGGCAACTTAAAATTTTTCATTTCCGTCCATTCATTATGATTTGATTCTAATTCCGCTATAAAACCAAATGCTTGTATTAATACTTATTGCCTGAATTTGAAAAAAATTTTAACTAATCTCTATAATAAAATCGTTGATGAATTCACTGACCAAGAGAACAAATACAGAGATCGATGTAACTTGAGATCTTTGTATGAATGGAAGCTCCCAAGTATTCTAACTGCTCTATTGCGGTCAACTAGTAAAATTAACAGTATGAATATATTTCATGGCAGTAGTCCATTTCTATCTATCCAGACTTCATCTTAAGTTAGTATGTCACTAAACCAATCTATTTACTGTTTAATCTTGAAATATATCAGTCTATACCTTGTCTCGTTTAAGATTCCCGATAATACTGATTTGAATATCACCCAACGGCTTGATATATAAAAGTTTCTCCCTTTTAATAACATAAGTACGATTGCAGATTGTAGATTTAATTTATATTACTTTACTGAAGATTACAGTTCGTAAAGATTATATTATATCACCTGGAACTCGATTAGCATTCAATTAAAGCCAACACTAACCTGCATAATTCATTGCCTTGTGTTGAAAGAACCTGATGTCCTTTTAGAACTTCGGTTGGTATCCGTTTATGTGGTACAAATGTAAATTCTCTCCTATAACAGAAAACAAAACACAATTTACTTTTAATATCATTATTAAATTAATTTTATTTATTAGCACGCAACGATAGTTTTAGAAATGAATATAATTCTTACAAATAAATGATATCATAAATAAGGCTGCTAAAGTTACTACTACGAAATTGAAATTTCATTGCAACGATAGAAACATGATCATACAAAAATGGTGATCGAGCTTTTGCATCATCAGGAACCTTCCATGACTTTTTGTCTACTCTCTTGACCTTGTGATTGCAGGCTGGGTGATTGCATGCTTTATACTGCGTTTTTCCACTATTGAATTGAAAGAGAAAAATATGAAGCTATTACTTGATTGTAATATTAGTTAAGATAGATCATGGCGACAAAATTTTATAGGAGGAAAGACTTTTATGGATCTATCAATCTTAGCTGTAGCTTAAATGCAGCGTCGATTTAAACTTAACATATTCCACTATGTGAATATATATATACCGATTAACATAATCGTAAAAGGTACCACTGCGACAACGAGGACAAATCAATTCTGCACCAAAAGCCATGCCATAAATGCATAATTCTAAAATATTCTAATAAAATGTAGTAAATGAAACCTTTAGAAAATCCTATATAATAAAATGAAATGTACCTAAAAGACGATTTATCAACATATATTTGCTTTGTTACTGTTCATAACACTGCGATACCGTAAGTAGCGATTTACCGCTGATTCTTCCTCGGGTAATTCGATGTTATATTCTAGCATCTTCATGATCATATCTTCGTTAGTCTCAGTAGTTAACTTATCGAAAATCCCTTGCAACAATATAGCTTGTTCCTGCCGTAATAAATTATTTTGTCATATAGCCAAATAGATTAGTTAAGAGATGACAACCTACTTAGAAGCGAAACATCCCTTGCGACAATACATGACGAAGATATAACCAACCTTCAAAGCTGTTTTTCTGTCCTCTATACTTTCTGATTCAACTAGAGCGCTGTGCTGAGAATATTTGCTGAGTCTATTCTTGGATTTAAAATTTCTCTTCTTCATCCTAGATAAAATCATGAATGTAAATAAAGCAGTTTAATTGATATCAAAATATTATCTACAACAACGGGACAAGATTAATGCTTAAACTCTTGTCTGTATTCAGTATAACATATACATATCAACTATATTTCAGTTATTCTAATTAAATCGAGATCAGTGTATCAACAATATCAAATTTCATCCTTTATGGCCATTTTTAGCCTTGCATATTATGTTAGAAAATAGAACTCGATAAATTTGGGTTAATTTTAATCAATTTTCTGAAAAAAGTCATCCGTTAAAATGGAAAAGATTAGAATTACTTATAAACTATCTTTTATCAGAAAATACTAACACGGTAAGAGTAAAAAAAACTTTTATCAACGTTAGACAACCTGCAACCGCCACGATATTTATTGAATTAACGTAATTCTATCTTATTCTAAGTAAATATCGGCAGTAAAACAATAAACATGAAAATATAAGAATCAGTAAATGAGAGGAATTAGACAATATGTGTATTTTAGTTTCTTTAAAGGCAATTACAGTTCACCTTTCAAGCAAGTAAATTGGCATAATGCTTATAGTTCAACTTACAACTTATTTCCCGTCTGCTTTGTCTCAAATAAGTTAATTAGATAAGTTAGCATATTATATAATATACAATATTAGGAAGCTTCATGATGGCCTTATATCTTAATGCGTTGGAGCTATAATTACGTCAATAATTTAATAATAGTATCTAAAAGACGAAATAAAAACTGATGCCAAATGATAAATTACATGATGCCACGATACTAATCTGTAGTAAACATTTTTAATGTATTTTGCTTACTTCCGTATCGAAACTATCTATTACAAGTAGTTAATGATATTTTAATGGCAGATCTATAAATAGCATTGGTGTTTCTGATCAGTAATTACTCTTCTAAATGAATTACTGTATAATGATGAGGGCAAATAGTCAGGATGATAAACACTAATCAACAGAAGAGGCAAAAATGTAAAATGCAATTAAATAAAGATCGCCTTGACAGATTATCTTCAGGACTTTATATTGATGTTGAAACCCTCATACATCCACTAGGGGAGTTTATTTTGAAATATAAAGAATATCTATAATTTATCGATTAGAAAAATAGTCTAAAGTAGTAACTTAGCGAAAAGTATTCATTTTATTACAGCATCATTGATTGATATTGATATTCTACGACTGTAGAGCTGTGTACTTGAACGTGAAAGTAATAGGTATATCTATATTTTGTTATTCATTATTCGACTCCATGATTAAGATATCAACACATTCTTACCTTACATTTATTCTGTACGTTTCTGTCAACAACGAGATCGTACCCTTGTCAATCAATCACTGAATTAATTTTAATTCTGGTTGATTACTTTTGCGAACAATTTGGATTCAAATCCAACTTATGAAAATGAACAACCCACTCGATCCTGGCCCATGAATCATTTATATCTTCTATCTATACATATCACTAAGATATAATTATCTATCAGCGTGTTAGCTAAATTCCGGTGTAAATGAATCTGATTTGATAGCAGCATGGTTACTTTTATTCGCAGCCAATAGCGTAAAATAGAATGACTATAATGCTTCCCTTCCGATCCATTGATTTAATTACAATGTCTCAATTTTCTCCTCCGTGTTGAGATGACATCATCATATCGTATGATGAATGAATAATAACGATTATCAACGATAGCTTTTATTTTTTACATCAATTTATTTTCAAGCCATTCATGGACAAAGATAAAAATTATCAGATCAACGCTTACAGAGTACAGCATGTCACGAACTACAGTGTTTTGTGACTCCATAGAGGAAAGCAATACAACATAGTCTTGTAATTAGGTTAATATTGACATCTTTGATAGTGTTTACCATTTTTCCTGACTTTCTTAATTCATTTTTAAGGCAATGTTAGGCCTTGTCAGTTCACTGAAACTGTTTCTTTACAGCACTTAACAATGATAGGTGGGTAGATAGTTTCTACTTCTAACCGCAAATACCGCATTGTAGCTGCGCCTATTAGATATTAGTTGATCAGGATAGTAAAATTGTTCTCATTTGATACATTTACTTTAATCGAGTTAATAAAATTTCGACTGTAAATTATTGTAAGTGCTGTCTTAACCTACTTCCGTTTAATCATAGAACTCCTAGTTTCGAGAATGAACGACTTGCCAACTGCTCAATGTTCAGTACCGTTCCATGTTTATACTACGAAAGACATCCAGGTATTATTTTTGAAAAGTTCATGACTAAAGTCACTGCTTTCCTAATTATTCGATGCGGAACGAAATTCTCCTTTCGTATTCTTTAGTTGAGGGAAGGAGGAGAGAAATGCCCGTTCACCCATTTACCACTACAGTACAGCTGGCCTCTGAAATACTATGTTCGAGCCGTAGGAAAACACTGAACGGCTTGAGCATAATTGACTTCTAACAGTAGTTTATCTAAATGGAAATGCTCACTGCTCAAATTCTCTCGATGGTAGTTCCTGATTCATTTCTAGACTTGTATGAGAGATTAGTTTAGTCCAGGGTCAGCAGCGTTTCTATACCAAATTAGCATCTGCATAAGCCGGGTGATGTTTTTGTATCGCGGTGTAGAGTTTTTATGTGCAGAGTTAACAGAGTTAATTTTCGATAGCACTGATACCTTCTACACCAAGTTAGTAGCATTTCAAACTACTTACGTTTATTTACGCATATAAATATCGTTTTACACACCAAATACTACGTGGCACTTTTATTAGCCGATTGATATTATTTTACAGTGGCGTTTATATGTATACCGGTGAGCAACGTTTTGGATACGACAAAATCTAAATGGATGTACATTGATTGAAATTGGGATAAGGTGTGTATTCTATAAGAGACTGGGGGATACGGATGGATTAATTGAAATTGTGATAAGGTGTGTATTTTATAAGAGACTGCGGGATACGGATGGATAAGCATGTGATGGAAACCCCTGATAGAGTGTGAGCGCAGGTGGATATAATCAGCGTAGCTGGTGCATTAACGTGACGACAGTTTTACCGTCACGGATTGGAAAGGTTTAGACTTTAGTACTCGGAGTATAACCAGAATTGCCGTATTAATTGATTTACTAAAAATAAATGAAGAGAAACGCTTGAAATCTTAACAGTAACAGGACATACAGTAGTATGAGAAGCAGTATGTCGATGTATGCTGACTACCTTTTAATTCATTGTATTATCCTATTTATTTATGACTAATACAAGTACGAGTATATATAGTCTATCAATCCTATCATACAGCAATGTTACTGTCAGATGCTTTAATCAACATATAAATGAAATTGACTGCTCTCTCTACAACCATTTTTATGTATACAGTACTGTACTGTATTATTAACCAAAAGGACATAAATAAAAATTAAATTTGCTATTACAAACGTCGATTCAAAAATTGAATCTGTCTGTAAAATGCTCGTAGTTCTCATACAGTGTACAATAAACTACCGTCAAAATAAAACGTCTATCACATATAGAAGACCTTGACCAGATCAATGTTACGCTAGTAATAATAATTAGTTCAAATGGAAAAGATGTTCGTAGATTGATGAGGATAGAGGTATATTTATTGTCCAATTATGAATACATGTAATTAGGTGTTGTTACAAAGATAGAGCTATGCCATCAGAGAGAGAATAGAGTAGGAATGCTTCTACAAAGCATAAGCCTATGATATTGGTAGTTCCATCGATCAAGACAGGTTTTGCTATGAATGTAGGCCAAAAAGCGATAGTGATTCCTTATACTACTGCTTTATCATTTTGAAGGAATTTTACTTCATGACTGTTTCTAGGTAAGAATGCTCTTATACCATTGTGCCACCATATCATCATTCTGCTTGATCGCTCGTCCGTTCCGATTCGTTCATTAATCTGGTCATTTTTGGACCAATTTAGTATTTATAGTCTGACTATTTTCGATGGCACTTCTTCGTTCAAAAATCAAAGTTGTATTCCATTAAAATTCCTGTATAATATTTATATATAGCTGTAGAAGAATTTCTCCACAGATACAACTCCATGTAGAAGTGATCTAGTTTAGGCCTAATTGAACTTCTACAATTCTATCCTTCGTTCAAAAATCAAAGTTGTATTCCGTTGAAATTCCTGTATGATTTTTATATATAGCCGTAGAAGGATATCTCCACAGATACAACTACATATAGAATTGATCTAGTTTAGGCCTGATTGAACTTCTACAATTCTATCCTTCGTTCAAGAATCAAAGTTGTATTCCGTTGAAATTCCTGTATGATATTTATAAATATAGCTGTAGAAGGATATCTCCACTGATACAACTACATATAGAAGTGATGTAGTTTAGGCCTGATTGAACTTCCACAATTCTATCTTTTCAGAGAGCCATCGAAATGAATCAGATTGCAGAATGTGCACAATACTATTTTGGTACTGCAGTATGATGTATCCATTTTTTTATTTTTATAATACAAATGCATAGGCTCTTTGACGTGCATGGACGTAGCGGTGACTTTATTACATGTTCTGTCGGGTAAAAGGTCTACAGTAGAGAGCGTGCCTCAACAGTCTTTCCCGACGATTGAAACTATATGAAATTATAATTTTAAGTCCTTATTCGACAAATTTGGTATCATTTGATTGGAAAAAAGACACTTTATGCGAATATGTAATTTAAATTGACATAAAGTGTGTTGAAGTTACTCATATAGACTGGACTGGACTGCGCGCTCAAGGACCACTTCCAGTACACTGTACACTATACAGGACAGTAGAATTGTCGAACAGGCAGTAGTGAAGGCCCACGAAACATTGCCAATGGTGCAATGCCTCATCCTGGAGATTCTAGATACCATCCATTAAACGATCTACCGTAGTTGCAGAGTTGAATGTACAAGATCATCTTGATTCCGTTAAAATACACTCAATTACTAAAATTAGCTAGTAGTACAGTAATTTGGAAGGCCAAGGATGTTTCGTTTGAACTGATTGATTTTTATGAGCGTAGTGGTCATCTGGATTGTTGCAAAGACAACGGCATTCTTAACACCGTAGCAATATATACGGTACTCGTAAAGACAGTATGAACAAGGAAAGATTCATGGAATGGTATATAGCGTCCAGTATGAACGCATGTCAACCTCCTGTGTGGATATTCTTTCCTTGCACGTCCATTTTATTTTATCCAAAGGGTTGTCGTCTATTACTCATTGAACTCGTTGAAAGTCACCGAAGGACGATGAACATTCGTTGCTATCGAAATGAGTCAATTTACTGGCCACATGGACGGCCTCAAGTTCAATTCGAATGCAACTACCGTTCAGTTGATGAAATATCAACCTACTGAGTGGATATTCTTTACTCGCAAATCCATTTTATTTTATCCAAAGGGTTGTAGTCTATACTCATAGAACTCGTTGGAAGTCAACGATGAACATTCGTTGCTATCGAAATGAGTCAATTTACTGGCCACATGGATGGCCTCAAGTTCAATTCGAATGCAACTACCGTTCAGTTGATGAAATATCAACCTCCTGTGTGGATATTCTTTACTCGCAAATCCATTTTATTTTATCCAAAGAGTTGTAGTCTATACTCATTGAACTCGTTGGAAGTCAACGATGAACATTCGTTGCTATCGAAATGAGTCAATTTACTGGCCACATCGATGGCCTCAAGTTCAATTCGAATGCAACTACCGTTCAGTTGATAAAATATCAACCTCCTGTGTGGATATTCTTTACTCGCAAATTCATTTTATTTTATCCAAAGGGTTGTAGTCTATTACTCATTGAACTCGTTGGAAGTCAACGAAGGACGATGAACATTCGTTGCTATCGAAATGAGTCAATTTACTAGCAACATTGATGGCCTCCATTTTAATTCAAATGGAACTACCGCTGAGTTGATGAAATATTCTCATTTCCCATACTGCACGATGTCTAGAACATAGATCATAAAGATATTGAACCGAACCGAACCGAACCGAACCGAACCGAACCGGTCTCAAGTCTAGTCCAGATAGCCAACATTTTGCTACAGTACCGTTTACAGTGTACTATACTGTACACTGTAGACTGTGTACTCGTACAGTGAGCGTCCAGTTCGGTAGAAATTCCATTTTCGGAGGTAGTACTGTGCTAAATGAGTCCAAAAATGAGGTAGAGAATACTAGGAACAGCACGAAATTGAGTCTGCCGTTCCATTCTACCCTAATGAGTCATGATAAGAAGTAATTATCGTCCAAAATTGACCTTGCTTTCCTTTTGTCATACAGTACAGCATAACGGCAGAACTGTACTCTACTGTCCACGGTCCACCGTCCAGTGTCTCCAGTATGAGCCATTGGCGGTGCGGTGTGTCATGTCGATCTCAAGTAGTTCCATTGCACAGGCGCACTGCACTCCCCAAGTGTCGACCAGAAAGAAAGGCACGTTGAGCTCTTATTGTGCCTCGACGTTACCAGCAGCACATTGGTTTGAATCCAATATGGCGGACCAAATGATAGCGGCGGAAAAAAGCTTAGCTGGGTTTAAATCATTACTCGTGATTATTGTGCTGACATCATGCTGTCTACTAGGATTTGCTTCAAGGTTGTTTGCGGTCATCCGATTCGAGAGTATTATCCATGAATTCGATCCATGGTCAGTAAACGCTTGATTGCCTGTAGAATGCGTCTTTTTCCGTCATGCTTACACTTGTCTTCAACCACAATGATAGCGCGAATACAGTTTGCTCTTGACTTGAATCAATGGCTGTCGACTGTTCTTTTTTATTTTAAAACGGAGTCAACGACAGTCGAATAGGTAGCCACGTTATTGAATCTTAGAATGACAGTATCTAATTCTTTTATTCGCCTCTTTTGTACCATCAGATAACATAGTAATTACCCATGGGCAAATTAGTTCAAATTGTAGCCTTCAATCAAGGATGGCAAGAACAGGAGGGAAATAGGGCTTGTCTTTAGTCAAGCTGTTGTCTTGTTCTACAACTTCCAATACGATGGTATTATAATTAATGGATGCAATGCTTATCATACTTGTTTGATCTATTTGGCTTTTACCCGTAAATCATCATCATTCGACAGATCACAATCCGATCACAATAGACAATCTGATCTTCTCCACTCTATACCATGGTATTATAATCAATGGATGCAATGCTGATCATACTTGTTTGATCGATTGAGCTTTTTACCCGTAAATCATCATCATTCGATAGATCACAATCAGATCACAATAGACAATCTGATCTTCTCCACTTAATACCATGGTATTATAATCAATGGATGCAATGCTGATCATACTTGTTTGATCGATTGAGCTTTTTAGCCGTAAATCATCATCATTCGATAGATCACAATCAGATCACAATAGACAATCTGATCTTCTCCACTCCATACCATGGTATTATAATCAATGGATGCAATGCTGATCATACTTGTTTGATCGATTGAGCTTTTTACCCGTAAATCTTCATCATTCGATAGATCACAATCAGATCACAATAGACAATCTGATCTTCTCCACTCCATGAAACATGACTAATTGGGTTTACTTCTTATCACCAATATGTACTGAATCATTAAAATCTTGATACAATCAACTGTCCACGACTTGGATAGACAATGCATTTACTACTACATTTTACATTTTAGTGCTTTATAAATATCGAGGTAGAATAGTATGCTCGTGTCATTGGCTATAGGCAGTAAGACTTAGGGTACGATAGAATAAATTTTTAGCATGCTCGTATTGACCTACAAAACAAATCCTCGAAGCAAATACATACCGAGTAGTAGTTGATAGGTGATCCTAATTGAAGAACAGGGTGAATTCAATAGCCTGATCTGTTTTAGTTGCTACAAAATAAGCTATCAATCGGTCTATATAGAACGTGAATCCTGGTGGATAATTTCTACGTTAACAGGACTCCATTGAACTAGCGCACGTCATGAACGGTATTACATTGTGTACAAGTCCATAATGAGATAAAACTCGCTCGCTTAACACCCCTTGATCGCGTGCAAAGGATACGATATTACAGACATTTGCAGTCATGTAGAAGCCATGATACAGTAAACTGCCTCATTTTTAACGTTATTGCCTTCTACGTTTGTAAAAGGTTCAATTATCGTGCGACACATCATATGGCTGAAAATGGATTTTACAATTTCCTCAATTGGTTTGATGAACGTGCTTGGTATCCGTTGGGCAGAATTGTCGGTGGAACCGTAAGTTGTACAAAAGTTGAATAGCTTCCACCGTAATTGAATTAGTATCAAAAAGGTAATGAATGACATTATTTTTTTCATTTTGGCTTAGGTCTACCCTGGACTGATGATAACTGCTAGTAGCATTCATTTCATCCTTAACAGTCTTAACATATCCATTCATATTCGTGATATTTGTGTATTCCTAGCTCCAATTTTCAGGTAGTTTAAATGTCGAAAACTTTGGTAGATGGAATGAATACAATATCTTGTTCAATTATTTGGCGTATAAATTATTTGTAGAATCATTAATATTGTTCACTATGCCATGATTTAGTGGATTTACGTCCTTAGCTGCTTATGGTTTAACAAGAGAGTTATGGAATGAAAGGGCTGGTTTATTGGCCGCTGTCATGATGGCTATCGTACCTGGCTACACATCACGTTCTGTTGCTGGTTCTTATGATAACGAAGGCATAGCTATCTTCGCCTTAATCTTTACCTACTTTCTGTGGGTAAGTTTCAATACTTTGATATCAATTTCGTCGAGCTTTTATTAGTCAACGATACCATAACATTAGAATTAGAAATGGCTTATTTATCTAACTTTTACTACAACTGCTACTGTTATGATACTCATCGTACTATAACGTTATTATCAATAATGATTACAGATTAAATCGATCAAAACTGGGTCTTTATTTTGGTCAAGTTGCACTGCGCTGTCTTATTTTTATATGGTGAGAAACACAAATATCAATTACATTAGAAGTAACAAAATTTTAGACGATACACTAATTGTTTTATATATTACAGGTATCTGCATGGGGTGGCTATGTTTTTATTATTAACTTGATACCTCTGCATGTTTTCGTTTTACTGCTAATGGGCAGGTACTCAAAGCGCATATACATAGGTAAGAATCTGATCGCTATAAAAATCTGCAGTATTCGTACAAGTTCAATCAGTAATTCGCATTATACTGCTCTTGTAGGTTGAAAGTGGAAACGGTTCATTCTTTTTATTTATAACTAATTCTTACAATTTCTTATATTCTTTCTCAATAAAGCTTATACGAGCTTTTTCATATTGGGATTGATCATGTCCATGCAAATTCCATTTGTTGGATTTCAACCTGTGCGAACGAGCGAGCACATGGCTGCTGCAGGTTATTGAATTGTTATAGTGCCTGTATTATTTTAACTTAATTTAATATGCGTTTGTTATCACTACACAGATCTGATGCTTGAGTTATTTAAATATTTCTATAACCTATTTCAGGTGTTTTCGCTTTACTGCAAGCCTACTCTGCTCTTTTATTTATCAAATCCAATTCGACTGCTGTTAACCTTGGTAGACTCATCTTGTTCGCTACGGTTGGAGCTGCTGGATTTGTATTTCTCGTTGTTGTTACACTCACATATGCAGGTACTAGACGTAGTTTATCTTACAGTATATACAGTATGTACTTGACATTGCTGATTGCTAGAATTACGTACGTGCTTGTTGTAAACATCTTTTAGGTTATATTGCCCCTTGGAGCGGTCGATTTTATTCACTTTGGGATACCGGGTGAGAGAAATAAGACAAATTATCATACAGTAGACTCGATTTGAATAATATGCATATGCATACATTATGTTTAACTCATTTATTAATAAAAACTAGTTACGCCAAAGTACACATTCCAATCATTGCGTCTGTATCAGAGCATCAACCAACGACATGGGTTTCCTTTTTCTTCGATCTTCACATCAACATATGCATGTTTCCCTATGGTGTTTGGCTATTAATCAATAACATTAATGATGAAAGGGCCTTTAGTAAGTTGTTTATACATTTTAATTTAAGTTTGCTACTACTTACTACCTAATATTGCAAGTTTTTGATTTCAATATTATATTCACGTCTTTCTTGCAGTCGTTTTATACGCTGTATCAGCTGTCTATTTTGCTGGCGTGATGGTTCGACTTATGCTTACCTTGACTCCCGTTGTTATCATACTATCATCCATTGCGTTTTCGACAACATTCGATAAATATTTGTATTACGATGAAGATGAAGAAGAAGGTGACGAATCAGAGAAAGAAAAGAAAGAGATTGTGTCCCCAAGGAAAAGGGATAAAGCTAAGCAAAAGGAGGTAGTTATCATGACAATATTTCTATACATCATTTTTCCTACGATGAAATAGTGACAGAGAATTTATTCTGATTAGGAAACGAAATCAAAGACTCGATCTAAATTTTACATTGGTGATGTAGGAGCTAATACTAAAAGTATGGTCGTCATGGTGCTTGCTATGCTATTAATGATGTTTGCAGTCCATAGCACTTGGGTGACTGGCTCTGCATATTCTAGTCCATCTGTAGTTTTAGCATCAAGTAATCCTGATGGGTTAGCATTAAGTTATATATTCATAGCAATAAATTACTGTTTGGAAAATAAAGTCACTTATTGTTACTATGTGATACTCGTGATATCAGGAGTAGAACGGTTCTTGACGATTTTAGAGAAGCATATTATTGGCTACGCCAAAACACGCACGAAAATGCAAGGTACTCTAACCAGATTGTGAATTATTCTCCTACTGTTCACACCTAAAATTTAATGAATTACCTAAAATGTTACAGAATTATGTCCTGGTGGGATTATGGTTATCAAATTGCTGGCATGGCAAATAGAACAACTCTTGTAGATAATAATACATGGAATAACAGCCATATTGCACTGGTATAACCCTACAACTTGGCTTATAACTAGTTGTGTTGATTTATTGGTTAAATTAATTGAAGCCACTTTTATCTATGTTATAGGTTGGCAAAGCAATGTCATCAAATGAAACCGCTGCTTACAAAATTATGAGGGAACTTGATGTCGATTATGTATTAATTATATTTGGTGGGGCGATCGGCTATAGTGGTGATGATATTAACAAATTTTTGTGGATGGTAAGAATAGCGGAAGGTGAACATCCAAAAGAAATTAAGGTAAGATTTATAACCCTTTGATATTCTGACATATTGCAATGTAGCATTTATGTAAATTCATTTACGCATAAGTATCGCTATGAAAAATTTTGCTCAAGTTTTACTTATTTCAATTTAGGAATCGGAATATTTTACACCAAATGGAGAATTTAGAGTTGATCGTTTAGGTTCACCAACACTATTAAATTGTTTAATGTACAAGATGTCGTATTGGAAGTTTGGATTAATGCAGGTAGCTTGACAACTTAGATAAGATTTTAATGTGGTAGTGACTCTAGTAGTTGAATAATCATTGATTATAAGCAACGTAATAATTAAAACTATGTCTTTGTTCAACTTAGATGGATTTTAGAACCCCAAGTGGCTATGATAGAACCCGAAATGCTGAGATTGGAAATAAAGATTTTACACTGGACGTCCTTGAAGAAGCTTATACTACAGAACACTGGCTCGTTCGTATTTACAAGTGAGAACCTATAATTAACTAGAATACATGGATTGTAATAGTTTACTACGTACACAGTATCGTCTCATGACATAGTGTAACCGAATTAATATGTATTACAACATATATCAATCACATTAATTTCGTAGAGTCCGAGAGCCAAACAATCGTGTAAAAAGTTTACAAATTAAGCGACATGAAAGTGGCATCAAAAAGAAAACTAAATATTATAGTAAAAAGGTATTTAATACTACATGATAAATTCTTTAATGAAATTGATATAAATTATTCTTCTTACCATTAAACTGAATATTTGGTTACACAGTCTAGCAAAAGAAAACGTGGTCAAATAAAAAAGAAACTAAAAATAGTAAAGGGCAAGAAACTTAGAAAGAGTAAATCGAAAGGGAAAAAGAAGAACCTGTAAACTGAATACGTGATTTATTTGCAGCCGGTAACAGCTATAACGTGTTAATTCTTTATCTTTCAATACTTCAAATCGACTTGGCAGGATTGACTTTTTAAATATTATTATAGGTGTGCATTTTATCGTATCGCTAACATCATATTTTGTTCGAAATGTTGACTTTGTCTCTATTCGATTCAGCAATCGACATCTTGGCTCATACACATATCTTCCTGTATTGTATTGTATACTATACGCGTATTACACAAACTTTGAAGTCTAACTTTAACCTTGGCCGATAGTTTGGCTGTAGGTTAATTTTTTATAATTTTAAATGTCTTCCTATGGATAACTTGTGTCCTACAAAACGTATACTGTATTAGTGAATAAATAAAATCCTTTTCCAGGAGTAAACTTAAACTTTGACTGAGGATGATTGAATATTTTCGATGGATTTGTTCAGAAAAATTAACTCAAATTCTTGCGATCCTAACACTTTATCCACATCAGCGTTTTCTGAGTCTCTCACAACTGTTCGGTATACTTAGCAATATAATTTTATTTCTCTACGTAGCAATTGATAGGTTTCGTGAGACTTGCAGTAGTATACTATTAGCAGTGACGATCTACTACGTTTGTTTAAGGTTTTAAAACACCCAGAAATTTAGCTAGCTAATTTATTTTGCTTCGTTTAATTGGTAAGACGATTGACATGATTATAAAATGACCAGTATTATTGTATTGTTGAGTCGTTGCGTTGGAATAGTAGTTATAACAAATGGATACCACAATTTACAGATGTAATAAAATTTAAACTATATTACACTCTCTGCTGAGTGGCAGTGCTTTAGTCACGATGGAATCTCGAAATCAAACTTTCCTTTGTTTAAATTCAATCTTTATAGAATGACATTCTGAACCATCCGAGCTATTGAACTGGAACGTATTTACTGTTGATTACCATTCGGTTAAATATGTATAATTTGATGACCTTAAGAAGTACCGTAGGCATACTTCTATAAACCGATTGATCGTTTCTAATAATTGAGTTTAGTACCTAAACAATTTCTCCTTGATGATCTTAAATGTGGCATACCTATACAGCTGCGCCGTAAGAATAATTGATATAAATCTAATTAAAATTTATTAACGCAGCCGATGGCAATATAGAATTGCATCAAGCTGAGTTGGTTGAGCATAATTACGATACTTCACTGCATTGCATATAAAAGATGTCGTGACATATCTCAAATGACGGCTTATCGAAATAGAAATTTATGGGTAAAGTAGTACTGTAGTTCTTAGTCTAATCCATCAAGAATTACTACTGTAACCTAGAAACTGTTTGCAATTGCCACTCAGGATTAATTGCAAAACTACGAGGTCTGAAGACAGTATAAGTGGGAGGCATTGCATAATACTGAAGGAAAATATATCTTCAATGTAAGATATCAACTATTCCATTATATACGTAATAAAAATATATGGACTCTAATTATTATATTATTAACGATTTTTTATTTTTATTATAGTCATGATAGTTCCATATTCCATATGGAAAAATATTTAAAAAGTTTGTATATATATACAAGTAATCGAGCAGGAGGTTCGAAGAGTATACACACATTAACGAAGCTCTGAAAATATCTTAAACAGGATGACAGATCGAGTAATTCAATATTCTAAATTCACAATTAGTAATTATAATACACATTAGCTCTTTTATATAAAAATTATTTTTCGCTTTCATCACGTGAAAGAAGAACAACAGAAATAGGAATGGAGTGTTTAAATTTCAGCGATTCTAAATTAGATTACAGCTATTATTCATTAAATAGAACAGGTTTTGACCTCAAGAATAATAAGCAAGAGACGTAACTATCTATTTAATGAACATATAATTTAATTTATAATTCTGACTCAGTGTTACAGACTATACAGGCTATTACTAATATATAATACGTAATGATATATAGTCCGGACTGATCCTACAGACATCATTTTCAAAATGTTGACTGTTGCTACAGAAAAATTTTTGAAATTCTCACTTTTAATTACCTAAACTTTTTCACTAAATAGAAAGGCTATAGAACAGAAATACGGTAATCGCAAATAATATATATCAGAACTAAGATGTGCTTAAATCGAATTTATCAAGCATCACCTGAGAACGTTTTGCGAACTGCTAATTATATTATCGCTTATACCTTTGTATAATTAGCCCATAATTTATCCTTAATTTGTCTTATTTTTAAGATACACTAAGTTAATTGAAAGAATTTATTTACATTGCATAGTGATCTAAATGGGTGTCAAAACCGGAGATAGCTGGTTATGATATAAACACGTATTTAAACATTCGTTTGAATTATGCATTTCTTGTTCAGATTTTCCCATACAAGAAAATAAATGAAAATCCAGACTATCAGTGCCTGAAGAAAACCCATCGCTTCTAGAATTGTCCTTATTGCTAGCTTCGTTATCAACAGAGAAAAGAGTCGATCGGAACAGGGAAAGTAGTCTTAATGGTACCGATTTTTTGAATATCTTTCTTAAACGCTTAAGTTGACCATGCTTCGCTTTCACTTGATTTATATCTTCTTGGTGTGATTCCGTATCGACTGTAATAGACGTAGTTTTTGCAATATTATTATTAGTTGTATTCGATGTAATTGTAGAATGTCTAGACAAATTATTAAGCTTTGCAATCGACATTTGAGCCCTTCCTTGCTGATTATTTGCCGCTTCATTTGCCATTTCTTCAAATTCATTACATTTGCTAACTTCTTGATCTGTATGTCTATTCACACCACAAGCGTAAGAAGAAAAGTTCATTCCATTCTCAGTTGCCGTTACGGATGATGAATCTTGAATTAGTTCTGGTTCTGATTCTATTTCTGATCCAGCATCCACAATCACGCGTGATTGCAAAAGCTTCTTTCCTGAAGTTGTACTATCTATGAATTTTGAGTATTGGCAAGAGCTATCACTTCCATCATCACTAAAATTTGATACACAATCTGTAGTGAAATTTATATTGGAATCTTTCCATTTCATTAAGGTTTTTTTCGGTAAGCGATTATGACTTAATTTATACGGCGGAAGATTTTCAGTATTACAATTATCGAGTAGGCCATTTGATGAAATAGAAGCTGATCGTTGACCATATCGACCATTACGATTTCTTCTCTTCAGTCGCCTTGTTACATAATAATGCTCCCTGCTATAGTCATTTGTAGTAGTGTCGTCATCGTCGCTCTCCGATTCCTTACCATAATATCGTTTTGTATAATTCTGCTGCATCTTCTTTAGCTGTAATTTGAGCATTCTTTGAGATTTCTTTCGCTGGATGAACGAGCTACTGGTTATGCAAAATAAGTATTTAAAATAATTATTCTGGTTCGTAGGCAGGAAATAAAGATCTGAATACAATAATCATTTAACTATTACTGCTCTTGTAAACTAACTTAAATCAGTAAATTTGATTTCTCTACATGGCTCGAACCTTTCTTGGCTAGCAATAATCAAGAGTCTTTCTCGTAACTTCATCATTGCCTCTCTCTCTGACATAAGATCCGCAACCATTTTCTTTTCGGTTCGAAATAAATTAAAATTTTTTTTTCTTAATTCAAGTAATTTTTTAGATCACAAACATATGATCTGTAAAAGCCAAGGATGCAATGTTAGAGGTATACTGTAGATAAATAGCAAAGTAAATTTTTGGTTAATCAGCTGAAAAATTGTTATCTAATCGTATAATAAAATGTTCTATGATTTTAATCTCAAAGTTTAGTTTTTTTTTAATTTTTAGACACGCGCTTAGGCCTATTTAAATAATGCTACCTGAGTAAGCTATCTCTAACAGGAATGAAATAAGTTTGAGCACGTAAAGTAGCTTGTTATGCAATCCGATGAACTAAGATTCAAATTTAGCTGGATTAGGCTGTTTCTTTGCTTATATACCTTCTGATCAGAACAGCACGCATCCGCTGACGACAGTAAAAAACAGTAGTTGGTCTTTAATCTACTATAGTCATCAAATATTTCCTAACTACTTCCCCATGTAACTACAGTATTACTGTCAATAACAGGCTTTTAACTAGTTTAAAGCCAAGGGCATCCAAAATAAACATTAGTGAACTCATAGCCATCATGATGTTCATATCTAAATTCTATTAATTAATTATCTACTGGAGTTCTATATTATAATCATCCAAGTAAAGAGGTTCCGGAAGCTACTCCAACAACTAGGTCAAGATTTAACCTTGACAGGTGATTTTCGTAATCAGCTAAATTGCATCTTTAAAATATTCGGCTGAGATATAAAACTCTAAAATCGAATATCTCCGTCCATAGTCAAGTAAAGACACATGAGTAATTTCAACACTTATTTATATTGATTAGACTAGTAATTTAATAGAAGCCGCTTAACCCTTTAAAGTAGCTTGGCAATCATTCGAATTATTGCTGGCATGTTATCTTATGGCAACGCAACCGCCTAAACGGGATTTCAGAAAAAATATAGGCTAAAATAAAGCTGTGTAATCATTACGTAAAGGCATTTATCTTAATCTAAATTAGATTTTATTTTTAGTGAAGACTTAAATTATGCATAATTAGATTATTATAAGATTGGGGTACTGGTCGATGACACAACAAGTCAACACAAATTCTTTCCTCTTGTTTAACCTAAAATATTTATTTAATTTAGCCAAGGGCAGGCCAAGACATGCACTGAAATTTAAGATTACTGATATAGTATTAATTGGGTTGGTGTTAGTTTAATTTTGATGAGATGACATAATTTAATTACCCATGTATCCATACCGATAGCCATTCACATATTATGAGTTATTCCTAGTAATCTAAAATAATTACAGGAAAGATACTCAGTATATAATATCATTTTCTGATGGTATTAATTTTTTACTGATGCCATGATGTATATTGATTATTTAATCCCAAAAAATGGAATCTCAAAGCTAGAAGGCCGAATATTTACAACACTACTGAATCGTGCAACACATTTGACCAGGATTATAAGAAAGGAAAAAATTTCTCTGCTTCTTATAAATTTTATATTTTCGGTCATAAGTCCCCATACTAATCTAATTCCCCATCAAGTTATCACCTAAGCTCTAAATTCATGCTACGTCTTCGCGTATATACTCGTATTCACTTTCAGATATGAATTTTCTTGATGATCCTTTGGTCGTCAATTTGTACTAATATCAAATACGAACATGGCTCGTTAGTAATTAAGGAATCATATCGGGATTTAATCTAATTAAACTTCTAGATAAAAATATCAATTTAATTAAATCGAATTAAAATGGATTTATATAAAAAAAATAAGGCGATAGCATTGCCAGTGATGGTATAATGTACTGATTTATCCAACGTTTGATAAATTGTCAGCATGCGATAACCTTTTAGGAATACGCGAGTCTCCCAAAGCAATTTATATCGATCTTTGGAATATATATGAAATATAAATAAACATTGGCCAAGACTAACAAATATATTTTACCTGTGAAACATTGCATGATATCAAAATTTTAATAAAAATTACCAATGATTTCCGTATAATTCTCGAATATTAGCATTTAAATCTAATTAACATTAACTAAGAGAAATATATGTAAATGAATTGCAATATATCTAATATAGGTATCTTGTATGAAAGTTCGTACCATCAAGCTATTTAAATTCTAAATACTTATATTACATCTACATAACATTCATTACATCATGCTTTTAATAAAGTATCATTTCATTCACAGATTCTCATATAAGATTTAGTATATTTAGAACTTTAAGTATTAGAAAATCTAGAAAGTAATGTGTTATTTCCGAAATGACTGCTCGTTACTAATTAATAGGAGTATATTCATCGGTATATCATTCACTAGGCCTTGAACGCTAGAAATTTTGTAGAAGCTTAAGAACTACTATGTGTACAACAGGATAAGTTTTCAGGACTGCTGCCTCTTACAATGAATTAGTAATTCATAGGAAGATTATTACCCTTACGTCTACTAACTATCCTCTATAACTGAAAAACTAGAGCAGTATCGTCATATTGTGCTAGGAATGTTAAGATTCTAGCTGTCATTGTAAAGATCTTATGTATCATTGAGCGATAGTCGTAGGTAGATTTTTGACGTAAAAAATCGTATTTAGACCATCATATTTAATCAAAAAGATAATGATTTAGCTTATCATAGGCTTAAAGTACAGTATATTAGGACTTACAAGCCCTTCCCTAACTAGCTGTAATACCAATTATTTGATGAAAATATCAAACATTGTAAGTTTATTCTGCATTCCTGAAATATTTTCTAAGTGTGTTGAATTAGGACTATGTACTCCGAGAACATTAGCTATTTGGGTAGTCTTCGATATGATTAAAAGCTTTAGAGGAAAATTTTACGATCTTACGGTAACTTTAAAGGTGAATCCTGACTCGATTACTTTACAAAACGCACCAACTAACATTAAAACCATTGAAGCATATTTCACCTTAAAGATTACAATCAAATAGCCCTTTCCAAATCTATTTCCTTAGCTAATAGCAGAAAGCAAAAGCTACTGCTTACTGCACGAAGAGCCTCGTAGTTTCTTCTCGAACTTCAAGTATTCCGAACGCATTTTATTGCTTGAGACTTAAGCGATAGAATACTGTCACAACCCTCACTTGTGGCAAAGGAAAGTAAAGAACTCTAGTGTAGTTACTTAAAACTTGGGCTATTTCTCCCAGTACTTTCAGTTTCTATGAGAGAAGTATTTGAGAACTCGATTTCTCGGCTGATCTCCACAGACAACTGACTAATTATTACACTATTCTTCACGATATGAGTCTTGCCGTTTCTTGAGCAATTACCTACTTTATTCTACAAACACACGCGCTTAAATAGGTTTCTACAGTGAATTCCAATATTAACGAGTGAGAATTCATGCTTTACAAGTTACATTAATTAGTATAATACCATTACTAAATATACATGTCGATATTCTCAGACTTAGATAGCTGCAAGCTATCAGGTGTTAAGACGCTTAACCTTCGTCCATATACAGCTCAATTTTTAGAGATTAACACACCTTATAAACCTACAGTAAATTAACTGCTAAAAACTTCTATTTTTATCTCATTTCTACCATCCTATTATCAGCTACAAGCGCATTAAAACAAAGCACATAACCTTATCTTATCTATTCATAAGCATTCATTAATTTACAGTTACTTAATTAGTAACGGCGTACCGTGACAAATACAAATCTTATTTAATTAATAAAGGCAAGGAACGTTTGTTCTATTCACAAGATATCCTAAAATTTATAGCTTTAATAATATGGTAAATTTGAATTAAAGCGTTAGAGAAAATATATGATTAAATACGAGTAGACACTTTTTGTTATCCTGGCATCAGTATTGGTGATTAGATTCACTAATGAGAAAAATATTAATTACAATAGCTTCCAGAACAGTTGATATTGTTAAAGAAAAATCTACAAAGCATAAATAATAAGAATATGAATGTAAACATAACGATTTACATATATCTAAGGTATCACTATTCATGCTTGGATGGTTAATTAGTTCAAATTGTAATGTGCCCTTAATACAATTTCTATACACGTTAAAGGGCTACCAATGTTAATTATTCCTGTATTTCATGAGCAGCGAGCAGTTTATTTATTTTAGTGTCCAATAAGGCAAATTTATTGGATATATCGGACTTGATCTCTTGAACTTGGTGTTGTAAATCTTGCAAACTAAAAGTCAAAATAATTTGCAATGCTATTCAAATAAGAGAATTTTATGCTTTTTGCATATAACAAATTATTCGTTATAGCATTCAGTCAACGTTGGTCTTAATTATAGTAGAAATACTGTAAATTGTAAGAGCATGTTTCATAAAATTAAATGCTAAAACTCACTCTAATTGCTGTCTAGTAACTTGATGCTGTATAGAACTTGAATTAGTCTCGCGATCGACGTGTTTATCACTAGGAAGATGGAGCTTTAACTTGGTCGTAAGTTGGGACCATTCCCTCTATTGCAATCAATGCATTCGAAAATAACACAAATGTAAACGCTTAAAAACTTACTAAATTTTTCTGTATAAAGTGAATATAAATTGTAAATGGATTAAATTAATACACAGTTTATTTGGTTACAGAAGGATACCCTTTTTAAGTATCCTGAATTCTTATCAATCTGGATAGCAAGAGACGGCTTGTATAATCGCCTTTGTATCCATGCTGGGAAGCGATAACTTTGTAAATCGATTATGACTTCAAGATCAAGTTTAGTAAGCGCCAAATCTGCACTTTTTCTAATTTTAGCAATATCTCCGACTGCTAGACCTACCTAAATATAATGAAATTTAATCTATTAATCTGATCTATTATAAGTCCAAGACAAAACACCACCATATCTACTGTGATCACAGCTTTGCGCAACATTATTAATTGCATCATTTTTATACAAATTTATATTTGCAATGCAAAGCCTCTCAACTTTAAGAAATTTACATTGATTTAAATTTAGATTTCATAACAGTAAATACTTGAGTAAAATG